AGTAAATGCAAGATCAGAAAAGGAGGTGGGCTGGACATGTGATGAGAATGAGGGTTAATATATATGTATGTAAAGCAAAGTGCTAAAGAGCTGTACCTATTATCATTAGCTAATCAGAGTTATGTGTTATTTCTGGGGCCATATAAAGAAGATAGTATTTTCACAAACTGAATTATCTCCTTGCTTCCCATTATCTTCACATTTCCTAGCAAAAGGTTAAATTTTGGGTAGATTTTTCAGTTTCTGATTGGATACCAGAGAAAGAATTTTTTGGGGTCAAAATTCTGTTAGTATATTTTTTCCTGGTAGGGACATTGTTTCTTTCATGTACTGTGGGTATTTATTAAATGCTCCTGGGAATAAAAAGGTTACTGGTAGAATCTTGTTATTAAGCAAACTTTACAGATTTTATATATATATATATGTATATATATAATATATATATATATATATATATATATATATATATATATATAAAAGAAACAATCCAGTAAAATTTGCTTGGATTTGAACTTTAGAGAAGTTAGTGCGTGCCAGATGGCAGAGTTTTTTTTTTTTAAATAAATATGAATCACAATCAATGAATGGACCTCACTTTTCAAAGAAGGGGACATCTTAAATTATAAAAATATGCTCCATCTTGTAGAAAAAACAGTCCTATGACCATTGAAGAAGAGGAAGTAAAAGGACTTTTTTATTTTAGCCACAACATCTCAGAATTAACCCCAAAAGCCTACCAGTTACGTCTTAATTTAAATATACATTTTCATTAACAGCCAATCTTTTTTTTTAAACAACCTTCAGTCACAGAGATTCTTAGAATTTGTTTTCCAAAAGCACTGTGAATAAAACAGTTTTTAATAAGGTATTGAGATTCAAAGGACTTTGTTACTATTTCCCCTCAGCCCTTTTACTTGCTCCACTAAGTATGTACTCCCTGTTTCTTCATTGCTGGGCTGCCAGCAAACAGGATTTGTATAGAGAATATTTCTGAGAGGGCCAATAGCCCCAACATAAAGGAGCCTGTATCTTTCCCCAGACTTTAAAGTACTCAGTCAAACATATAAGGGCATAGCTATGTTTCCAAGCACAGTGCCATATTCTGGAGACATAAAGATGAAAAAATAATGCCATCTTTCCCTCAAGTAGTTGACAATGTTAGATAGTGATGTGTGTACAGATAAGTATAATGCAGAATAGAATGTGATATGGGCAAAGGAAAGATTCACGATGCTCTAGGAAAACTTGCGGAAAGAGAGGAGGACTTTCAAGGGCAAGCTTTCATGCAGGAGGTAGAGCACTCGAGCTGAGGAATAGGATTTAGGCAGGCAGAGGTGTAAAGAGGCCTGGGCAAATACATGGAAATGAGAAGGGACAGGAGTAATGTGATAGGACCACAGAAATGGAGGGAGTCAGATGGTGGAGAATATTAAGTGCTAGGTTAAGGATTTGTATTTTGTTCTGTAGGCAGTTGGTACCCACTAAAGGTTTTTGAGTAGGGAACTGACATTGTCAGCCCTCTCCTATAAATAGGCATATTTATTTTGAAGAGGAGAGAGATTGGAGTCAAGGAGACTAGTTTGGAGGTTCTTAGATTAGACTAGGCAAGAGGTGATGGATCTTCTGAACTAGGATGGCAGTGGTATGAGTAGATATAAGGATCAAATAAATGTGAGCAGTGTTGTGGAGTTAGAATCAAAGGATTTGGCAAAAGGTGGAAGGTGAGAGAGAAGGGAGAGTCAGAAATAAATCTAAGGTTTCAGACCTAGGTAATTGGAAGTTTAATGGTGTCATCAAAAGAAAAAGGGAATTTTGAAGAAATGGCAAATTTAAGAGGGAATTTAAGGAGTTCAATTGCCATTTTCTTTAACCCTTCCTTGGAGAATGTAAGACAAATAAAAATTTAAAGGTTTTATTTAAAATAGAAAATACAGCAAAAAACCCTTGCCATATATACTACTTAGCTACTAATTTAATCAATGTTATATTGTATGTTAATAGAAAAACTATTGGTTAGTCAGAATTACCTCTATTATATTGATATTATACTTTGCTCAGTCATTCCACTAAGTACTAGAAAAACCAGTTGACCTATTCATACTTGGAATACCATAGATATCCTATGTATTTCAGCATGTGAAAAACTTCTTCCTTTTTTTTCTTATGTTTTTTGTGATGTCATTTGTTAGGGTTTTTGTATCCTGTTAAAATTTTTTCTAATTCTAAACACTGTTGATGCCAGTAACACTAAACTCAAAAACACTTCAAAAGCGTCATAGTTACTACTTTGTTCTGTTGCCAAACAAAACTTTATGCGTGAAATAATTAAAATTAAACTACAATTTGCATTGATTTGTATTTCTAGGTCTTAAGAGAACATTAGGAAGGAAAGTAGATAATTTCAATGAGATGTCAAGTCCATACTTCCATTTAAAGATTAAATACAAAGTAAAAATTCCAAAAATAATTGAAAGTGTGTCTATCAGTACAATCGTTATTTTATATATAGTTAGGGCATTTTGCTAGATGGGCATAAGTGGAAGATTTATATTTAAAGTTTGATCAAATTAAAATTCTGTAATGCTTAAGTTTTCACTCTTAACTAGCATTTCTCCCTCTCACCTTCCTTTAGTTCATTAACACAATTTTTAGATTAATATACTGCTTAAAACATGAAATGAGATTGAAAATTTTTTTATAACATCACCTGTCCTTAAATTTAAAGATCACTCAGGAGTAGCAAGCAAGCGTTACTTGTGAATAATAGGCATTGACTCTGTTTCTCTCTTTTGCCCAGTCAGCTTAATTTAGGACCCTATTTCCTTTTCCTTACCTACTCCAACTACTAGAGGTTAAAGGACCTTAGATCTCATCTACCCATCACATTATAGATGGAGAAAGTGGGGCTCAGAGAAGAGCAAGTCACACTGCACTACTGGGATAGATCTGGAATCAGTACTGTAGGTCACCTGAAATCTGGTCCAAGGGCTCTCGATTCCACTTCATGCTGGAGGAAGGCAAAGGGTGAAGTTCGCTTAAAGGCAACTGAGCACAACCAAGTTAAGTTATAGTCTGCTAACTTTCACCATGGGTTCTGCAACATTATTAGTAGGTAAGGAAGAGGAAATAGGGTCCTAAATTGTAAAGAGGTAAGCGGATTGGAAAAATTGTTCCTACTTAAAAGCATAATTCTTAGCATTTTAGAGACCCTTGATAAATGTTTGTTGAATTGAATTTGAAGGTGAGAGACTGCATGGATGGGCTAAAGACTCAGTAGATGAGATGGTAAAAGTGATAGAATTGGTTCAAATTTTGTAGTGTAAGATTTTGATGGACTTATGTAACCTAATGAGTAAAAATTGGATTGCATAACTTGATTTGCCTTTTAAATAGCTAAATTTAATAATAAGATAAATAAGAGAAATGTCTTCTAGGCTGTTGCCCAAGCAATATTGGAGTTATAATCTGTTCTTCGAGACAAAGCCATGATGATCATTTTGCTTGGTGCTTAGAATACTTTATAAATGTAGAGTATCATAATGGATTTTTCATCTTTTTTTTGCACTTTACTGTTACTTAAAAAGTAATTCTCATAATTTCCCCAAAATGTGTAAGAATATAAAAAAAAACCCTTTAAAATCTTGAATTTTGTTCTAGAATAAAATTATACCTTTTTTGAGCTGCTAAGGCATCTTAGTTGCAAAAGATTCTTACTGCTCAGGAAGTTTAAGAAACTCCTTTTTATTCTATTCAGCAAATAGTTAACTGAATGCCTATTACGTGTAGTGAGATACAGCAATAGGCATTGGGAATATAAGAACGGAAAAACAGCACAGTTCTTGACCTCGGGGAACTTGTTTTTCTCAAACTACTAGTTAAAAGAACAGAAATACAGACATCATACTTTTTGTTTCTTTTGTTGCCTAAAAAGGAATAGCTAAATAACCCCAAAACAGAGAGGCTTTTAACAAAGTTTTGAGATTGTTGTCTGTATTCCAAATTAGTTAAAACAGGCATTGTAACCCTAGATTTGAAAGGTAAGATAATGAATTTTGATTCCTACCTTCTCCACGGTCTCTTAAAGTCCATGGACTTTATTATTATTTATTATTACTGGACAACAGTGAGAAGTGTCATGGTGTAAGAGGATGAGGATTATACTCGAAGTGAGAAGAGCTAGTTGCATGGGACCTTAGATTGAGAACTGGAAGGGACCTTAGAGATTGTCCCATCTGACCCTATCCTTTTATGGATGAAGAAACCAAGATGGAGAGATGTTAAGTGACTTGACCAGGATCCCACAGGTATAAGTGGCAGAATTGGCATTCGAAGTTATACTCTCCAACTCAAAACCAAATGCTGTTCACTGCCTCCCATCTGGTTTTGATTGTCACTGTTGTGTGACTTGGGCAGATCACTTAATCTCTGGGCTTGTATTTTAAAATTGGAGATAACATTTGTCCAGCCCACCTTAAAAGGCTTTTGTGAAGAGCAAATTAGGTAATGCACGTGAATTGGTTTTCAAAACTGTGTATTTTTTTTGATTAAAGAGAACAAGTGATTAAGAGATATGGAAATTCAGGCCTTAGTTCTTTGGAGATAGGAGAAGTCTGTACTCAAAGTGAATTCCCTTGCTTCTGCTTCATATGCAGCACTTCTTCTGGGTACCTACCCATGAGTACTGGTCCTTGGTGCCTCCTAAATCTGTTTTCTAATTATAGTTATTCAGTAAAATTTAAATATGAAGGGAACATTTTGATTCTCCACCCATTACCCCAAGGCATTCGTTGTAGCAGGATTTGATTTTGGCATCAATAGGTTTTCAGTTAGAAATAAAAAAGGGAGAGAAAGCAATTTACTTTTCATTCTTACAAAAAGCACTCATTTTTCAGAATGAGCAGATAGCCAAAACTCTGCAAACATGAAGTATGAAAGATTATTGAAAATGGAAGTGGTTTCTCTCTAATTTGATCTCTAATTGGAATTTATTTTAATTCTAGAACATGGTCCAAGACAATTCCTGGGAAAGTTGAATTCTTCTCTAGTGAAGGTTCAGACACATCCATCCCAATTCCTATAGTGCCACTACAGGGTGTGGATGACTCCTATCCACCCCAGAAGAAGTCCTTTATGATGCTCAAGTACATGCACGACCACTACTTGGACAAGTATGAATGGTTTATGAGAGCAGATGATGATGTTTACATCAAAGGAGATCGTCTGGAGAATTTTCTAAGGAGTTTGAATAGCAGTGAACCCCTCTTTCTTGGGCAGACAGGACTGGGCACAACAGAAGAGATGGGAAAATTGGCGCTGGAGCCTGGTGAGAATTTCTGCATGGGTGGTCCTGGTGTGATCATGAGCCGAGAGGTGCTTCGAAGAATGGTACCACATATTGGAGAATGCTTGAGAGAAATGTATACAACCCATGAAGATGTGGAGGTGGGACGGTGTGTCCGGAGATTTGCAGGAGTACAGTGTGTCTGGTCTTATGAGGTAAGAACAAAGTTATTTAATAGTTTGTAAACATCTTTGGCTCTTAGTATTAAATAGGAATTTGGTATTGAATACGGGAAATTCATATATCTCTCTTACATTAAAAGTTCTGTTATCAAGTTATCACATGCCCTTCATATTTTTGCTTCTGGTTTGTGTTTCACTTTTTCCCCAACAAGTTTCACATTTCTTTTTCTTGTATTTAACGTGAAGGATCCTCTGTTTTTCATTAATTCACTATAATTGTTTCCAGCCTATAGTTAACAAATAGTGGAACGTGAGGAAGGGGTTTTCAGGCTTGTGTAGTCAAACCATTGCATTTCACAGATAAGGAAGCTGAGGCCCAAACTAGTTAAATGGTGAGTCATGACCATATCAAGAGGTCATCATAATTCAGTTAAAATTTTAAAAAATTATACTGCTATATATAAGACATTCTTCTAGGCAAGGAGGAATACAAAGATAAAAGTCCTATTTACTGTCTTCAGTGGCCTAATAGTTTAGCAGGGGAGAATAAATACATGTAAATAGGCAACATAAAATGGAAATTAAGAATATAGGAGAGGGACAAACAAAAGGGAATAAGATCTGTGGAAGATGTGATTCCTTCCAAGTAGGGGAGGGTAAGGTATGGAAATAATGTGGATGGAGTTCAGTTCATGAAGTTTGATTTGGGTCTTGCAGACTGGGTAAGATTATAGAGATGGGAGAGGTTGAGGGTGCTGAGAAGAAATTACACTTAATTCTGGTCATAGAAGAGGACACAGAAATAGAAAACATCTAGATAAGTTTGGAGAATGAATGGTGTAGTTTGAAGGATCATTGATTAGAATAAGTCTTGGTAAAGTTGAAGCCAGACTATGAAGGGAGTGACTCTAAGATTAAGAAGTTTGGACTTGGTGGGCAATGGAGAGCCATTGAAAGGTTTTGAGCAACATGTTGTAGCAAGTTTTGATCCAACAATAATAAGTTTGATATAGAAAAATTATTTCTTCAGAAGTAGCGACTAAAAATTATTTGCTAATAATGAAGTAGAAGGTCCTTTGTACTCTAATGCATTCCTCATTCCTTCAAGAAGAAGCTGAGTTGAAACAAACTTTAAAAAATTATGTTGACTTTTATTTTTTTACTTCCAATTCAGAGATGCTATTTTACTAGAAGCGTTTTTGAAAAATGGGATACTTTTCTCCCAAGTTATAACGTATGCAAGGAAAGGAAATTACATAATTAAGGGTACATTAATGTGTAGCAAACGGTTAATTTTCATTTGAAATAAATTTGCCCAAGATCTTGGAAGCATTTTATTCTTGCCAATGTATGCTTTTAAATTTCTTCTAATCAGAGTTTGTTCTGGTTGAAATTTTAGAGATAATGCACATTTTCAGTGATGCAGGGAGTATCCGTTGTTTTCGTTTCAATTTATAAAATCACAAAGTTATGTAGTAAAGACAAGACTTGATCGGAGTGCACACTTTGATCTCTTCCCCCTTCAATTGCATTGGCATTAAGCTAGATATATATGTGTAAGGGGTCGTATTTTTCAAAGATAAAAGTCCGTGAGCAAACACAGCTGCTTTGAGGATTTTATGCAATGGTAAGCAGCTGTCTTATGGATTCTATATTTCTGGCTTCCTATTAAAACAGAAGGATTTTCCATGCTTAATTATATGAATAGAAGCTCAGGATATGTAATATTCTGAAATTTTTTTGAACTACAATTGTTAAACTAATTTTTGTATTTTGTTTTTACTTCACCTTTATTTCCTAATGTATCTCTCCACCCCCACCCCCAAGAGTCTCTTATAACACAGAATTTAAAAATGGGAAAAATAGTTTAGCAAAACTAATCAACATTGAAATTGTGACATTTTTCACATGCTCCTTTGTATCTATAAAGAAATGAGGGGAAGTATCTTCTCATACCTCTCCGTTGAGGATAATTTTGGTCATGATTTCTCATTTACATTGTTTTTGTTACAATGCACATTGTTTTGCTAATTCTTCTTACTTGACTTTGCATCAGTTCATATAGGTCTTCCTGTGCTCCTTTATAATCATCATCTTTATTTTTTCTTACAGCATATTCAGTTTTTCATGTACCACAGTTTGTTTAGCCTCTCCCTAGTTGGTGGGCATATACTTTGTTTCTAGCTCTTTGCTACTACAAAATGTGCTGCTGTGACTGTTTTGGTGCCTTTCTGTTTGTTGCTGATCTCCGTGGGAGATATGCTCAGCAAAGAAATCTTTGAGTGAAAAAATAGGGATATTTTAGTGGCTTTCTTAGTTTAATTCCAAATTGCTCTATAGAATTATTGAACCAATTTGTAGCTTTATCAGCCAGTCATTAGTGTGCCTGTTTTTTTCCCACAACTCCTTCAACACTGACTACAAATTGTCACCTTTGACAATTGTCTCAATGTGAAGTGAAATTTCTGGATTATTTTAATTAACTATTTCTCTTGTTGTTAGTTATTTGCAGCATTCTTTCATTAGATTGTTAATAGTTTCGGATCCTTGTGAGTACTGTTTATTCATATCCTTTGCTTATCTTTGAGAGGGTTTCTGTTCTCATATTTCTTTTAGTTGCCTTTTTATCTTGGATGTCAGATCCTTGTTAGAGATAATTGATAAAAAAAAATTTTACTCAATTTTTCTTCCCTTTTTGTCCTGATTGCATTAATTTTGCTGATGCAAAAAGCTTTTAAATTTTATGTAGTCAAAATTATTTTATCTTTTGTAACCACCTCTAACTCTTGTCTGGTTAAGAATTCATCCTTGTAAGGGTATTATAAATGTGCTTCTTTGATATGTCTGTCATATCTGTTTGTTTTGATGTACACTTTAAAGGCTAGTATACTTGTGGCCACTTTCTTTTAGGTGAATACCAGAATAGGGGGGTTAGAGCTTATGTTTTCAATGTTCTTTATAACATTAACAAAAGAGTTGGTCCTGAAACTAGTAGATGTCTCCTGGGCACTCTTTCTCAGATGTTGTGAGATCCTCATCCTACTTAATGTCCTGAGAATTGATTGTAACTATCATTTCTGGAAACCTGGAAAGAAGATTCAGTATCAGGGTGATATTGAGATTACTTTATCAGATGAAAGTGTGAAGGCCCAAGAGAATTGTGGTTGAAAATGGTGGTAGCAGAATTGGATTTTCATTGGAGTCTGGGTTGACTAGCAATGCCATTGTTGCTTTTCGAATATCTGGAAGTTAGTGGCACGGTGAATAGCAGCAGAATACTAACTTCGAAAGCCTCTCCAGCACTTAGCTGACTAGAGGCCATAGACAAAACCCTGGCTTCTTGGTCTGAAATGTGGCACTCGGGGAAGTGTTTTCACAGTTATTTTCTTGGCATCCTTTATCACTCGTATTTTTAAGGTATCTAGAAAAAAGCTATAGAATAAAGTTGGATGGTGAGAGTTGCTATTTAGAGTTCTTATTTTAACTGAGGTGTGGTATTCAAGCCTTTGTCATCAATGAAGGATGTTACATGCACTGCTTTCTAAATTTTTTTTCTCTGTAATATAAGAAAAAATGCCTTCTACTTCCTCTCTGCTCTGTAGGAAGGGAATAGCACCAAACTGTTTTACACAGTGATGCTGTCTTAATTGCGTGGTGTTTTATATGCATCCTAAGGGCAAAGATTTAGTGTTTTGCAGTGGCCTATACATGCTGGGTGCTCAAATTTTTGTTAAATCAATCAGCAAGCATTTATTAAGCACATGCTGTGTGCTGACCACTGTGCTGCGATGATACTGAGACAAAGTGAAATAGTCCTGTTCTTGGGGAGCTTGCAGTCTTGCTGGGGGAGCAACATGTACATATATAGACATATGCAATAATCTGGTGTGTGGTTGAGATCAGGAAAGACTTTATGGAGAAGGTAGCACTGGAACTGAAACTTGAAAGAATCCAGAGAAAATAGAAAGTGGAAGAGAAGAAAAAATGTATTCTGGGCATAGGAGACAGATAATGCAAAGGCATAGAATAATGTATAAGGAGAGAAGGCAGTATCACTGGATTGTAAATAGTGTGAATGAAGAGAAATAATATGTAATTAGGCTGGATAGCTTGGTTGGCCAGATTGTGCAGAGTTTTAAATGCCAAACAGGAGTTTGTATTTACTCCTGTAAGTAATAAAGAACCACCGGAGCTTAAGTAGGGAAGTGACATGGTCAGACTTATGTTTAAGAAAAATCACTGTGGTAGCTGAATAGAGGATGCATTGGAATGTGGAGATATTGGAGGCTAGGAGACCAATTTAGGAGGCCATTTGAAATGTATAAACTTTGAAAGTCTAAACTTTAGACTCTTCAGATAGTCCAAGTGAAAGTGATAAGGGCATGAATAAGACATACATATATATATACACACACACATACACATATATATACACACACACACACACACACACACACACACACACATACACATACACACACCTCCACACCCCCACACCCCCACAAGATAGATTGTAGAATTGGAAATTATAAAATTTGACCACTAGGAGGTAAGTAGGATGAGTGGGAGTGTTGTTTTGGACCTGGCGACTCTGAGATCCAGTAGGTGGTAGGTGACGTGAAACTAGAGCTCAAGAGAGAGGCTAGTGCTAGTATATAGATGTAGAAGTCATCAGCATAGTGATGATAATTAAACCCATAGAGGCTAATAAAGTCATTGAGATAGTATAGAGAGATAGGACCCAGGACAGAGCCTTGGGGTTACATCCACACTTAAGGGTGGGATATGGAATATGAATCAGCAAAGGAAACAAGAGTGTTAAGACAGGTAGAAGGAGAACTAGGAAGGCATATTTTCATGAAAACCCAGAGAAGGGAAAGTATACAGGAGGAGAATAGTGTGGTCAGTAGTGTCACATGCTGCAGGTTTAGAAGGGTGAGGAGAGAGACAGACAAACACCATTGGTTCTGGCATTTGACAGTTGATTGGTAACTTTTGGGAGAGCAGTTTCTGTTGAGTGAGGTTGGGAGCCA